TCTATAAATTGTATTGGGTTCTAATAATCAGATTGTGGCATAACTTTAGAGTGTTACTAATATTGAATGATTTACATTTTAAATCTGAGGATAGCTTATTTCAAGCTAAGATCCTAAAGATCAAATGGAAATGACAAATAATAAATCCCAGAGTGTTGTTATTACATTTTTCTCAGTCACACCACTCTTTAAATAAGAGTCTTTTCTCTTTTCTACTACAACACAAAAGACCTAGACACTTACTATTTAAGGGCAGACACTATATAAGAGAAGCATTAAAGTATCTTTCACAGAATTGTAGTAACCTTGGAAGGCTGACTAAGAAAAGTGCCAGCAAGTATGAAGTATGCCTTAAGAGTAATTACATTTTAAGCTCGAAAAACAGAGATTTTCTGGATGTCTTCTTCAGGTCTCATCCAGTTTTTGATAATATGTTTAGAAAAAATCTTGAAAGCATTTTGTCAAACCCTAGTTTATAGCTCTAGGGTTTGAATCCATGGCACCACAAAAATCTAAGGCAGTTTCTAATACTCCTTTTTTAAAAAACCAGCTTCTTACTTCTTGCTCACACTCTCAGATCTCCATCAGTAAAAACTAAAAAAATAAAAATACTCCCTCCCCTCCTCTTCTACCTCCTATAACAAGGCTTGACTTCCCTTTTAGCTCAAGTGTCAACAGATGGTCTTTTTATAAAAGCCATCTTTCTTCTTTGCTAAGCTTGTGGTTACATGTGAATTTCCAGCATTTCCATTACCAACACAATCCCTCGTTCAAAAGTTCTATTTTTAAATACCTTTTTAATTTTGGCTAGCTTTCCATTATGTGACCTGTGTCTTCTGACTTTCCTGTTCTATGAATAGAGGCAAGGGCAAAAGGATGCTGAGGGATTTGCTAATTTATACTTGCTCCGAAGTGATGTTGGCTGAAGGGAATGCATCACACCTGGTGCATCCCAATAAGGGGCAAAAAGTGTAAAGGAGCAGCTGCCAGCTTTTCAGAAACATAATCACCTTTTTTCCTCCCACAAACAGCCTTGTGATGTGGTGAGCAATTTTAAAGCTCAGTTGGGCTTGCCACCCACTTAACTGACTGCTTTGATTTCTAGCATTTATTACATTAACTGTGTATCCATCACTGTTGAGGTGAGGTAACCCTTTTAATAGTTAGTTTGCAAATTATAAGACAAAATTTTACAAATATCGGCACAGTATGGACCTCAAAAAAGAGAGTTGTGTATTTCACCATTAGAAGCTGTTAGAAGCTCTGCCTTACAGATAAGTAAACATTTCAAGAGAGGTTGTAATCAATTGGCTTGAGATAGTTGTATAGGAAATCTTAATACTATGCATAGAGAAGTAGAGGAAATAGGAACAAGAGTGGAAATAAAATAATAAGATTTGGGTGGAGAGGATATCAATTTTTGTTTGTATCTTCAAACTCTACTTTCATTGACTTTTTCGTTAACACATAATGAATATGTAAGACTCATTTGGAAATAAAACCCTTCTTAGACTATCATTTGATAACCCACTTCCTTCTTAAGTACCTGAAAAAATAGTGTCTCCTCTTCATCATCTCCTTTTACTTCTCTACTCAGTGCAATCTTTCTCCCTCATAGCTATTCTAAATTGCTTTGGTCAAGTTGGCTGGCAATCCTGATTTCACTTTACATCATCTGAAAATGAGAATTCCTCAATCTTCTTCTTTCTCAAAACATGCTCCTCTCTTGGTTTCTTGGATCCATTCTCACTCGATTCTCCAACCATCTTTTAGCCTACTATTTTTAAAGTCTCCTTTGTGAACTCTTTCCTTGGTTTGTAGTGTTAATGTAGTCTTCCCCAGTTCTTAGTCTTCTCTTCTCTCATCTGAAATAGTCTTCGGCATGTCATTTTCTCCACTCCCTGGGGTTTGGTTATCATTGAGGTATTGACATTTTCCAGGAGTGTCTTTAGTGCTTTTCTCTCTTCTGAACTCTAGACCTACACTCCCTAGATGCTTACAGGACCACATCATTTGCAAGTCCTATAGAAACTCAATCCCAACATTTTGGATATGGAATTCATTATCTTTTTCCTTAAACCTGCTGCTACTGTTGTACTTTCTCTCTCAGTTAACGACAAAATCAACCAAGTCAGAAGCCTGAGGGTCATCCTTGATTTCTTAATCTTATTCTTCCTGAATCTTACTGTTCACCATTGCCTACCTTCTAAAGTGAACTTTCATGTATTCCCTACTTCTCACCACTACAGTCCCGCATTTAATTTGGGATTAAAACTTCTAGAATCCTATAACTAATTTCTAATGCTCTTCCTGTTTCTACTATTACTTCTCTTTAGTCTATTTTTCATATTGCCAATTTTGTAATCTTACAAAATTCAAAACTGATCAAACTACTTCTTTGCTTGCATTTGTTCATAAATTCCCCATAGTGGAAGGATAAAATCTAGACTTCTAAAGCATTTCTGACAAGTGTTATGATCTCAGCCCTGGCTTTTTTCCTTTCGTTCCACTCTATGGTCACCCTATGTGAATAATTGAAATTCTATAAATACAGCCGGGTTCGGTGGCTCAGCCTGTAATCCCGCGCCTTTGGGAGGCTGAGGTGAGTGGATTGCCTGAGCAGGCGGGTTCGAGACCCGCCTGGGCAACTTGGCTTGACCTCATCTCTACAATAAATAAAAAATGAGCCGGGCATGGTAGCGCGTACCTGTAGTTCCAGCTACTCGGAAGGCTGAGGCTGAAGGATCGACGGAGCCCAGCAGGTCAAGGCTGCAGTGGCCGGGAGTGGCCACTGCACTCCAGTCTGGGCGACAGAGTGAGACTCCAACTCAAAAAAAAAAAAAAGAAAGAAATTCTATAAATACACCATTCTCTGTGATACTTCTGTGGTTTGCATTTGCTATTCCCCATGCTTGAAGCAGCCTTCTCTCACATCTGCCACTGCATAGTTCCTACATCCTCTATATGTGTTAGCTCAGGTCAGATTTTGCCTAGGAACATCCCAGCCCTTGCCTACAATCTGGGTTAATATTTGCCCCTCTCTGTGCTTTCACAGTACCGTGTATTTAACCTGTATACTGGCACTAGTAAAATAATATAGTTATTGTCTGCTTGGTAGGATATTATTTTGAAGCATTAATTCAGATTTTCCTCCAACACCTACCTCCCATATATTTTGTATACCCTTGTTTCTTCCATTTATCTAGCAGAGCTGCTTTAAGGGAGGTGTAACAAGTTAACATTGAGAATATTTTTTTAGTTGAAACTGCCTGAGATTTAGAATTAATAAACAACAAGAAATACTAGCTCTAAAAGACTCATGGCATTAACAAGAGAAAAAAAATGAGCAGTCAGCTTTACCAGACTACAGATTCTTTGGACTGAGCAAGGGGGTAAGAAGTTAGAACAGGAACAGGGGAGCTAAGAACCAAGAGATGGAGTGTCCCTGAGAAGTGTCTAAAGACCTTGTTGCCTTTTATTTAGAAAGGTTTATTTCAAGTGTAATAGGAAGCTGAGGAGAGAGTGGATGAGCATTTTCTGAGGGTGACAGATGTATTCTCTCTCATGTCTATCATCTTAATAGTTTTGGAAGTCTACCACTATTGAGAAAGGAATACTATGACCACACAGAAACTTTATTTAAAAAAAATAATTCAAAGACAAAGAATATTACTTGAAGGGTGAGGATAGAGGCAGATCTCCGCTAAAACCAGTTGGACCTGGTTCCACCATAGAAACCTAAAAATGACCAGGAAATGTGTGATTCTTCTGGGTCCTTGATTTTTTAAATTTTGAATTGATTTTTATAAATTTATCTTGGAGCAGGGGAGTATAGTCTAAAAAATGAATTTTATAGCATTTCAAAGAAGATACTTTTGTGAGTTCTTTTGAAATGAAACACATTTCCAATGTCTATTTCAAGTATTTATTAGACACACATATTAGGGAATATTAAGTTTATCAACTGTGGGAATGTGCTGACAGTAACTTACACATTTTCCTCTATCACAATTGTTTTAGTTTAATGAGGGTCAGGATTCTATTGTATGGTATTTTCATGTTTACCAATACATTAGCATGTAGAAGGCATTGCAAATGCTTATTGATAATATAACTGGAAGTCTCTTCATTTATTATCATTTTTCCTGACTTTTGATTTCTTGAATGTTACCTGCTTTGTCTACCTAGGTAGATGACACTTTTGTTAATGAATCCAGTTTAGGAAGTTGATTTGATCCATGCGGGCTCATGTAGATTTTCCTCAGATCTTCTCACTGCCTTATTTTCAGCAAAGCCTGGAAAAGGCCCCGAGGCATATTTGGAAGAAAGTATGAAGAATTAGTGCTGGTAGTACAAGTAGAACCCTAAGGGATTGCAAAATGAGTGGAGGATCTGCTGCGATCCACCCAGGGACAAGGAGAGCCTGCATAGAGCTGCACCAAGCACTGTGCATTAAATGACACCCATGACATTCACACATCCCAAACACATGCTGTCCCTGTTGACTACTCCTGTCCCAGGCTGTGATAGTAGGGTGTCAAAATGACCATCAGAACTTGGACTTCAGATATAGGCATACAGAGTCTTCAGGTAGCAGAGGTAACTTCTTAACTATCTTAGCAGCTATTCTTGACCCTACAACTGAGGCCTTTGTAACTCTGGAACACAGTTAACCAGGTCAGATAGAAAGTTATATGTCTTAGAAGATTATAAGTGTTAGCATTTACTCCTCTGCCTAAATTCACATTTATGTGTTTGACACCCATAACCCGAAATAAGAATGTATTTACTCTCTGTCTTCAGTTCAAGTTTGGTGTTGTCTAGGGTTGTCGAGTCATTCTGTCTTGGAAGTAAAAGCCACAATTCTGAAAGACATAGATTTGTAGGTACTAAATGTTTGGTCTTACAGGAAAAAAGGAAATAGAAATAGGCATTCTAGGGCCAAAAATAATATAAATTGATGAGATTATAAAAAAATTCATCAGACTAAGGCTGAGAAATTCAGGAATATAGTCTCTTAGATATTTATTGTAATCTTCAAGAAATAAAACAAGATAAAGAACAAAAACCACTTTCTATACATAATTCACATACAAACTGAATACCTAATAGAGCACATACTGTTTTTGCACAATTAATTTCAATAAAGATAATTAAAACTTCACAATGTGAATACACTTCGTAGCTTTAAACCCACACAATAGCTCCTGTGGACACATGAAGAGTCATAATATTTGCTATGCAGCAGTAGTTTTCAACTAAACGTCACGGTCACTATATGGAAGCATTAAGCTGTTTTCAATATTTTCTCTATTTTCTCAAGGAGAGTTCCACAGTGCAGTCACTGGGGGCGAAGAGTGCCCGGTTCCAAAGAAAGGTCTTCATTTGTGCATTTCCCAATGCCCTTTATGGGAAATATGGAACTACAGAAAAATCTCCAGGTGCACATTAGCCTGGGTGACATGAGGTTAGACAACATGTAGTGGTTCGGTGCATTGGTAAATGACTAAATCAACTGCTCTAATGTGGCTTTAAAGCAATGTGTGTATTTTGGTTGAGCCTGGGACTGCTCACCATAGAGGAAAGTGATGATACAACAGCTTGTCTTCCTCAGGGAGCTAAACTGGGGTAATTTGAGGGGTTTCAGGGAACCAGTTTTGCTGTCTCAAGAAAAACAATGATCTATAGCTGCCAGCACTGTCATCCAGTCATGGGGAACGTACTGTGGCCTTTCCCACTTACTTGCCTGGTACAATCTCCTCACTATCTAATTCTTTCTGGGATTCTGTTTGATCTCTTCAATGGAACCAACTTGACTCTTCAAGTTCTTGCAGTTCCCCCATTGTTTGTGCTCTTATATCCCAACATAACCTAGCATTTAGATCATATCTGGAATTTTTTCCTTCTTCTCAATAGTGGCAGGAGCCATATGTCTTCCAGGTTTGATTCCCACAGCACTGAGCACACGGGATTCAATAACTATGTGACAACTAACTAGATACTCAACCCCACCCTGAAATTATCATTCTAATGCAGGCTTCCTGCTTCCATTTATTTAGAATTTGGCACAAAGTCATTGCTAATCTCCCTCTTGTGCCCACTTTTACTTGATGTCAGTAGATTCTGAGAGCTGAATACAAATTTCAGTTTATCACAGTTAAATTCGGGCCACACATCCCCCACATAGCCCAAATCCATATAATATCATTGACATATCCTCACATGTAAATTCCCAGCCAAGTGCCATGGAGAGAACTGAAGGCTTTATACGAAGAAGCACATGGCTCTGGTCATCTAGAACCAATTGTCTGCTATAATTGTTAGTGAATAAATCATAATTTGTTTTCTTTCCTAAGGGTATCACAACTTATCCCACTAACTGAATGAAAAAGCAAGTACAATACTCAAACGAAAGCTTTACCTTAAAAAGTGAAATGTTAGATAGAAGTTTAAGGTGGTCAATCTACTTTAAACTTCACATACATAAGCATTTATAGTGTTTAGTTATCCAGCAACTAGACTTAATTTCTTGATTTTGTATTTCAGTGAAGTTCCAGGCCACCGATTAAGTAAGAGGGCTTGAGGATGAAGATAGGAGCTTATGTTGGCATTACACAGTGTTTCAAGATTCTGTTATTTGTTTCTCTTGTATCACCAGTGTGGACAATTGAGAATTGAAAGTGAATATAACATGAGCTACAATCTAAAAGACATTGGTGTTTTAGTGTTCTCAGGGTTGACAGTGTTAAATTTGCAAACAAAATACAAGGTTGAGTAACAATAAAATATACATACAAATACAGAAGTGAAAATTCTTAATAGACAGATCGTGATCAACCTTTCTGTGAAGAAAAAAGTGACTTTTCTTTATGCACATATTTTTCCTTAGATATCTAAATCAGCTGCTTGAAAGTAAAATGCACACTCTTATATGACACTTAAGGAGAATTTTGATTTATATAGATGAGGATGAATTTATAAATAAACTAACAGTCATTCTGTCTTGGAAGTAAAAGCCACAATTCTGAATGACATATATTTGTAGGTACTAAATGTTTGGTCTTATAGGGAAAAAAAAGTACTTTGAAGTAGGCACAGAGGAGTTTTACATGACACCAATAAGATATTTACTGTATAAATTGCACCACTAGACAAATACAGCTACAAGAAAATCATCTGAATAAGTCACACAGTCATCAAAGCGTCTCACACATTCATTGTAATTCATTCTTTCACACTAGTTTATATACACTGAGTAAGTCATTAAATATTGCACTTATTGGCCCATGAACCCTCAATTCTGAGGTGTTGAAAAATAGAAAACAAATCTATTTTTATAACATATTTCATGCAACATTTAAGACATTTCAGTTCTACAAACACCATTAAATAGTTGTACATTTGGACAGTCCAACGGTATCACATCACGTCTGACATTAACAATATATTAACAGGAATTACGGGACAGTTTTTATTCAGCATACATCCTAGGAATGATGGGACAATGCATGGAAAACCATCATATTGAAACAGCAAACAATACCCAAACTCCACTTTTACAAGAAGTATGAAGCCACTAGACAGATGTAGGTCATGCTCACGTCCCTGAAAGGCCAGGTGTCTCAGTGGCTCATGTTAAATCTGTGTCTAGGAGAACAGCATTCATGAACCTAAGTAATCCCTGGCTCCAAAAAACATCAATTTGCATTTAAAAAGAAAGCCACAGTCAACTCTCAGTTGTCCACGATGAGGTAAAATATGAACACAGGTGAATGAAATACATAGGTAACCCCAAACCTCATTTCAGCAAGTAATGACTGGTTGAAACTCCACCAATAATAGTTGCGGATGGGAAGTAAATGGTGAAACTTGAGTCTCATTTCCTATTTTTAGTCCCATCATTATGTAAGGACAGTGCTTTGAAAATTGAAATGATTTTTTTAAAATCAGGAAGTAAAAGAGAATTGAAAAATAGAAAATTATATTTGTCCACTAGCTAGATGGTCTGATCCTAGCACTCAAGCTCTGAGTAAGATTTTAACATACTTCATTTCTATTATCTAGAATGTTTGCAAAATGTGTTTTCACTCTCCCTGTTTAATGGAAATCCATTATGTGCACAGGCACACGGACTAATCAAATCAAATCAAGTTGGTGTGAAGAAACTATTTCGTGGAACTTTTAAAATAAGATGTGAGTTATAGTTGGAAAAGGGGGTCAAGAGTTCCCTTTTTCCTAGCACTGAGAAAGCACCATAAAAAAGGTATCAGTGTTTACCTTTGTCTCAGGTGAGTGAGTCAGTCTTGAGAAGGGCAGTGCTCTATGTGTGACTTAAGAGTAAATATTTCAATCTATCAAAGGAAAATATTATTTGGTTGGAGTGTTGAGCATTTGTGTAAAGGTTTTTAAGAAAAAAATACATTTATTTATGAAATACTAGGAACAATAGGTAGATACATTTTAGATATATCTCCCCAACTTGGTTTTGCCCAATTAGGGGATGTTGCACTTCTAGAACCCTTTAGGTGCAGAGCAGGGGTATAGACTTTTTTTCCTGGTAGTAACTTCATCTTTTATCCAATATGTCCCAGTTGATGCCAGGATATAACACATGTTTATGTCTTTAACTGACTTTGGTCAAAAATCCACCTATAATATAAAGTACTCCAAAAAACTGACTAAAGGGTTCAACACATCAAAAAGACTTCACCATTTTACTGGCAACTTATTAAAGCGCTGAGAGTAAACTCAAACAGGCAGAGCTGAGCAGAATTGCAGAGACTACATTTTCCAGGGAGTGAAGGAAAGGCCACAGGAGTCTAGTTGCTCATGTGGCACCCTGACATCGCACACTGTGTGAGGATACATGCCAAGAAACGGAGTTCCAGGTTCTAGTCATGCAAGCTGTAATTGAGAGAGAAAGGGTTCTTCAGACAGACAGGCCAGTTCCCACATAAGCCACACCAAAAATACCTGATTGAGCCTTCTAATAGTACTATGAAGATTATTAACAAACACACGGTAACTTTTTGGTCTAAATGGTTTTAGTCATGACTTTAAAGTAAGATTTATATCACAGTTTCTCACATGCAGGTGCTACCTCAGCTTGGTATAGCTTAGTAGAGTTTGTGAATATGTTTTTACACAGTCCCACAAATGCCACACCTTTAACTAAAAGATCACATAGAACACCCTCAACCATGCACTAAGATACTTGTTGGATAAAGCACATCACGATGAGTCACTGATTATGGACTACCATGCTCTACAATGAATGTCGCTTCATGGAAGTTCAGTTAATAGTGGAATGTATATTACTTTTAAAAAAGAAGAAGGTTATATACCTGGAAGTCTACTGTCAGCCTAGATGTAGTTAAAATGGAAAGTTTACATTTGTTTCTAAAAAATACCAGTGTACTAAACACAAGGCCTATAAATAATCTGGGTAAAAGTTAAGGTGAGATATGCTCTTGTTTATCGAGTATTTTGATGTCTTGTATAATGTGGGTTATGATTTTATAGAATTCATATTCCACATTTATCATTACAATGCTGCAGCTTTCTTCTACAACTGAAGGCATCATCATCGCTTCCTTTCCAAATAAAACCCTTAGCACATTTTTAATCAGGCAGCAAAGGGGTATGCTGAACTTCAGGTTACCCAAAGGAGAATCTATAAGAACATTCTGGTTCTCACAGTCATTAGAATTTTATCAAGGCAGTGGAAGCTGTTGAGTGGGGGCAGAAACAATGAATGGATTATTGTCCTGAAGGAGTTCTTCCAAGGAGCACATAGTTGTGATGCTAATGTATAAGCTGCCACCTTAGGACTGAAAACACTTCATGCACTTTCTACATCTGTCCACATCCCCAAGAGCTGAAATGCTGATTCACTCCAAGGATGGCTATTTAAATGAAATAATTTTGAGTCCAATTTTTCAATGGCATTAGGAAAGGAAAGGAAGGTACCAACACCAAAGCTCTGGGAAGCATCTGCTTGAAGCAAAGTTTATTCCTAAAAGTATTAATGGGTGGAGATGACCAGGTGATGAGTAGCAGAGGAAAATAAATTCATAATTAAAATACTAATTTATTTGCATCAAAGACAATAAGAGATGAATGTCTAAGATTTACAAAATAACACAAGTATATACTTTTTAAGATGTCTTTTTCTTTTAAATACAAATTTAGTTAGGCTGTTGGCAAAAATGACCTGCATATATTTGGACTGTTGGTAGATAAAGGTATTGTGTTTGTGTGTGTGTGTGTGTGTGTGTGTGTGTGTGTGTGTGTGTGTTGTTGGTCAAATCTTGGAACTACAGTGCTATAATTTATAAGTAACATAGCACAATGCTAATAAAGGCTCAGTTAATTAATCCTGAGCTTGTTCATTTGCCAAATTTGATCTCAAATACCAAGATTTCTTGATGAGATTAAGAATAGAGAATATACTCTCTATGTGCTTTACAGTAGGAACATAGGTGTTCTTTCTCTTGAGCTCTATGACGGTCCCTCTTGAAACTTCTCATTGAATTATTTGGCATGGAATTGATAGTAGGGTAGGAGTTTCAGAACTAAGAATCAATTGAAAAGGCTTCACTTCCATTGGAGAAGTGGCTTGGAAAACAGAAAGTATCAAATGTTCCTTGGTAATGACACTTGGACTATCATTGCATCACTCTCCCCTGACTGGTTTAAGTGGGCACTTGGCTTAGGGCTTCTAGTCTAAGGACGAATTAATTTCAATAGCCATCAGTTCTTTGGGGAAGGAGTTTTCAAGAGAGCAAAGTTCAGCCTGTTCCCGTTTACTTTTCTAACATGTCTCATTGTGCTTTCCATTTTCCAACAAGCCACATATCAAGGTCCTTCTGAAAGAGACATCAGAATATTCTATCTAGGCTTTTTATGTCTGTATGCATGTGTGGGATGAGGGCTGTGAAGGGGACAGGATTTCCTGGCTTTATTACTTCCTATTAGATTGTAAAGGTGAGCTTAATAGCTATATCATTTAACATGGCCACATTCTGCTTAGATTATGGAAATATTATAATGTCAGACAAAAACAGACTACGGGTACAAACAAATCTGTTTTCTTTAATATCCCCTGCTTCTCTCTTTCCCTTCACTGTAATTTCTGTGATTTTGAAGCTTGTTGCCCCATTAAAATGTAATAAGACATAAATGTTTTCTTGTCTTCACTAAGCTGAACCTTGCCTTGCAGGGTTCCAAAGTGGAAATTTACTACCAATTAGTGAATCTTAAACTAAGAAGGCGAGAAATAATATGGATATGCTTAAAACATCCCAAATGCTCTCTCCTCTAATTTTCATCTTTTGACTTACTCACAATGTGCGTGACCCGGTTCCCTGATTTGTAGGCAGAACTATCTTATTTATTCTCCAGAGATATCTTTAGCTATACAGGTTTTCCTATCAATACCCTCTCCTGGTAAGGTTGCAACTAATACTTTTATAGGAAGCTTTTCTATCATTGAAAGAGAAATATATATATCTTCAATACAACCAAAAAATGGGATGGGGGAATTCACCAAATGGAACTGTTCTTCCAAATCTGCCAAGCAGTGCCTGCTGCCTTCCTAAAATTCTAGCTGTCAATAATACTGGACAGTGACACAGATGCCAAGTTTCCCGGTTAATCAGCACAGCTAGTAGGATTTGCTATTTGCTTGTTATGCATACATGGTTTTCAGGAAATCTGGGGGCGGGGGGGGGAGTCAGAATGTTCAAATGGCTTCCTCCATTCCTCAAATTGCTATAGATCCTAAGTGTCTCTGTAACTCTCAGCAACAGAGTGTTTTCTGTGTAACTGAAGCATGCACATAATGGGGCTGTGCTTTCTATTTAAAAGAATGAAAGAGGAAAATGATCTTTTCCCCAACTTGGGACACTTGGAGATATTATTTAAATAGTTTTTAAATAGGTGAAAGAACTTAGCCGTAGTTTGGGCAGATGGCAATGGCTGGGGAAGCAAGTCTATATCCTATGGGAAGAGGAGCCCTAACAAGCTTCAACATAGCCTCTATTCTGAGAGTTGGTGATGGTTCCAGAAAGTGAGGGTGGGGGTAACAGTATGTGTTATAGAGGGTAAGTCAATAAGGAAATGGGATAAGCTCATACCTTGGAACACTACAGCTACTCATACCCTTCTTGGTTTAAATGCTTTTTGCATAACTAGCATTCAGTAGATACTTCTCAGTCTGTTCAATGCTCCCAAATATTCAGTTGAGTAGAATCTGTGGAAGGAACAGTCCTAGAGTAGGGTAATTTTTTATGTAAACATATAAACTAAGACTATTGTTTAAATCTAGTTTCAGACAGGTTAATAATAATGACTTAGAAAACTTGCAAGGGTCCTAAAAACAGTTTTCTTCATAGTCAATGATTTCCACAGTTATTAAGAACAGTGAAAAACAGACACGTTTTCAAACAGTAAACTGACCAGACCTGTGACAGTGTCCCTGATCATAAACAAAATTTCTGTCTGATTTTCAGTTACGAGTAAAGCAAATGAAGTCTCCTGACATCTCCTCCTGCTCACGTACACACACACACACACACACACACATGCAAACGCACACGCACACATATACACACACACTCAATTCCTTGGTCATCATCCCTACAAGTGAGTAGCATAATTTGAATCCATGGCACAGAAATCAGTTGCAGTGAAATTATAGTCTGAGGTCATAGCAGTAGCATAACTGAGAAGAAATTTGAAACAAAAAAGCCTAGAAGATAAATAAATAACAAGTCACATGCAAGTACCAGATGTTTATAGATGAAGAGTCCTTACAAATTTAAGATCACATATTTACCACATATTAACCCAGGAAATCTCCCAAGAATTGAATGCATGTACGAGCCATTGACATCAAATACTTCCTTCAAATAATTATTAGGCAGTATAAATGAAGGCTAATAGACCATTTATAAATGCTGTTTGTTGGCAACCAGAACCCCCTGGAGCTGCCCATGTGCATGGGGACATTAGCAGCCACAATTGGGCTGCGGTGGAGGAGGGGTTTCCTTGAGTCTGGTGTTCTGCTTTGCGGCAGTGATGGCCGGGTCGGTCTCCAAACTCTCTGACATTTTGTCACAGATGATATCCACAAGGCGCTCAAATGTCTGCTTGACATTAATGTTATCCTTGGCACTTGTTTCAAAAAATTCAAACCCTGGAGAAAACAGAAACATAGGCTGGTCATTTCATGTTTCTGAAATTAAATAGGACTTTATGGTTTTGAGTGGTGACGAGGTGATGGTAGGACAACAGCATGTGGTGGATTTGGTTTGGGGGAGAGATGACAGGTGGGCATGAGGTGCCATTTGAGCAAATGCTGACATCTTGCTATCCATTAATCATGAACAAAATAGTTATATAGTGGGATTGGTGATGTTCACATTTGACTTTTCTCTGTCGATTCATATATGTTACCAGCATGGCTGAATAGGTTTTAAGAAGCGTTTCCTTGCAAAAGTTAGTAATGACAACGTTAAGAGTCCTCGACACCAAATCTATGTTTGCCATTCTTTTCCCCAACCCCCAGCCCACCAGGAAGACTCTTGCAATCTTTTCTAGGGCTGACGTTATTTGACATTTTAATCAGTTTCCACTTCCAGATTCTAACAGAATTATTAATTTTTTGTTTTTCATCGACTTGAGGCTTGGACGATTTCATATGCATATTCTGCTGCAAAAGAAACTACAAAACTCCAGTGTAATTCAACTCAAGTTTTTCTATCTGCCCTGTGGCGGACCTAGGTCTTCTAATACGTTTTCAGTATCTAAGAGGACACAAGGTGGCACTAAAGAGTCATAGGAGTTATGTATCTCAAACCTGCTTCAATGTGCTTTAGGAAGTGTTTGAGTCAGGTTATTCTATTTGTGTACGACTGCACCTATCAAGTGGGTGCTGATTTTTCCATAGCTTCTGTTATCTATCAGCAGGAATGTTTTTATCAACATCTGGAAAAGGATACTTGATACATTTCAAATGAGCTGTCAGCATTGCAAGAAGGTACAAAATGCAGTGACAGTTTCATACTTCTACTGATGTGTCACTGTACCTGGGCAGAAGCAGTCTTAGTATGCTGCTCTGTACACAATCTTATCACTCTATTGTTTGCATTCACATTCCACTGGCTGAGCCTGCCAGTCAGTTGCCATGACAACCTCCCCACTAGGCCAGCCAGAGATTGCTCTGGTCCATTCAGGGGACGTTGATTTAGGATGTGTTGGGCTGAACATAGAAAGCCTTTTCTAATCCATTCTGAATTTTACACCCTATAAATCCTTCTGGTTACATCTGGCCCTATCTCAGAGGAGCCACATGGATCCAGAATGATTAAATCATGTGATTTCATCCAGCTCCTGGGGCCAAAGGAGAAAGAACAGACCAATATTTTGTATCCATGGCAAAATCCCTCAGATAACCTAGACATTCTTATTTTCTTCAGTCGTATTAAGGGGTAGACAACAAGTAGTTCTCATGAGTTAAAATTTCCAATTTAGTTATAATACCACTTCGGTTGGATGACTACATCGGAGCTCGGATTTTACTAACTGCTCTCTTGCTAAAATCCAAGTGTATAATTACAAGATTTGGGCTGGAAAAATATCAGTAGAGCCAGGTTCTACAAAAGAAAAGGTGGATATTTCAAAACATCTTTGGCATGTTTTTCTCATTCATTCTCTCTCTCTGAACAATACCTATATAGCTCTCTTATAGTCTGCATTTCTTTATCTACAGATATGGCCATCTGATGTTAACAAAGCTCTCATTTCTAATGTTTATACCATCTATAGAGCTAGATAATTCACATTCTGATAGTTTGATCCAGATTTGGGAGAGGGCAGGTAAGGATCTAAGCAATATCCTTGTTGCGAAGATTCAAAACTATTCTCATCCTTCTGGGAATTTTCCCATACCTAACAAGAGGGTGTTTTGTGTCATAAGATACCGGAGCCCACTAAAGAATTCAAGATCCCTGGATGAGACTTTGGAGAAAAAAATCCCAGACAAAGATCTCATTTATAGGTTCAATTCTCTCATCTCTTCTGCTACACTTCATTTATTTATTATCATGATTTGGGAAGGCACCAAACTTGAAGGGTATCATAAAAGATTTAGCTATTATGAAAAGATGGTAACCCACACAAGTCTTTGCCAAATCTGACTTCTTTGATCTGGGCATTTATGATCCTGCCAGAATGATGCTGGTGTACAACTTGGAGTCATTAATTTGATCCTTGATCTCAGAAGCCAGAATGCTCTCAGCTTCTCAACCTTAACCTGGATCCCTAAGAATATGTAGCTACTAAGGGGACAGTGTCCCAGGAAAAAAACACCATGTTATAATAGCACCCATTTATTCAGCATGGCTAAGAAGAGAATACCATGATATGGTGAGAGGGATGGATTATCAGTCAAAAGATGTGGGATTTTTCAACTATCAACACTTCACAGTCACTTTGAATACATGAGCAAGTCAATGTTTTCAATTCTCACTTTCCTTATTTATGACATTTGCTTTACTTAACTTATTGGGTTATCATTAGGCTGGAATGAGAAAATGTAGGTAAAAGTGCCAAGCAAATTGGACAATGCTATGATGATGATGATGATGATGATGATAATAATAATAAACATTTATTGAGTGACTAATGTATAACAAGTACTACTCAAAGCACTTTACATATTTTAACTCATTTTATCTGCTAGTAGGTACCATTATTTTCTCTAATTTACTGATAAAGAAATGAGACAAAAATATCTGAATTCAAACATTTCCTTGCTTAGCTAGTAAAATGGCAAAGCTAGTATGTGACCTATTAATTTGTACACTCTCCTGCTTTTCCAGAAACACTGTAGTAGTAAGGTACTATTGTGTTCCACTGAATTTTAAGCCCTATGTTAATCAATAATCACAATATATCATAAACTTTCATTAATTTAAATAATACGAAAGTAATTAACTAGATTCAACACTGTGAACCAAATGGAATGATCTTTTTTTTTTTTTTTTGAGTTGGAGTCTCACTCTGTCACCCAGACTGGAGTGCAGTGGCCGCTCCTGGCCACCGCAGCCTCGACCTACTGGGCTCTGGCAATCCTTCCGCATCAGCCTTCCAAGTAGCCAGAATTACAGGCATGCGATACCACGCCCGGCTGATTTTATGATTTATTGTCGAGATGAGGTCTCGCTGCCCAGGCGGGTCTCGAACCCGCGGGCTCAGGCAATCCACTCACCTCAGCCTCCCAAAGGCGCGGGATTACAGGCTGAGCCACCGAGCCCAGCTTGGAATGATCTTTCTTAATGATCCCCAAAGTGCTCTGATAGCTTGCATTGCTTAAGATTCATCCAGATGGTCACTGTGTCAGCTGTATCTCTATCAGAATGATTGAATTATAGATATAAAAGTTTCTGGGAGGTAGACTGCCGCTCATTGGTCAAATATGTGAGCCCTCTTTTCATAAAATGAGACAATATAAATACTCTAAGTACCTGGGCATTTATGATCCTGCCAGAATGATGCTGGTGTACAACTCGGAGTCAGTAATTTGATCCTTGATCTCAGAAGCCAGAATGTCAAAATCAAAATCATTAGTATGTTAGAATCTAGTTGTTTAGGTTCAGCACAAAACGTTTACTGTGTAATAAATGATTTTTTTCATCCAGATGGATCAGCGTATTCATCCCTCATCTGTGAGTGAGGGCTCTCATGGCTCATAGCTGCATGTACCCACGGGCACTTAAAACTCATGGCCTAAATCGTAACCGCAAATTTAACCACTATAGCCTTTATTCTTCTACTAAGTCATTGGATTTTATGGCTATTACCTCCCACTATCTCAGTATTTTAACTTCTACTATAGCAACATAAGCTTGTTCAGAAATTTTTGACCTCCAATCCATCACCAACATCAGTGGGAAGCTGGTGCTTCAGCCAATGATGCTTCAGAAACAGTCTATTTTACAAAATTTTGAAGATCACTGGGTAGGAAAGTACAGTTCAGCAAGATGAAATAAGTAGCCCAAGGTCGCACAGTAAGATGACTGTGAAGTCTGACAAAGATCTCCTGATAAATAGGTTCAGTTTAGCTTCCAGCCTTGGACACCTGTCTCTCAGACTGCTCCATCTCATATTAATAATTTCAGCTCACATATGTCTCTTCATCAGAAAATAAATGGATCCTTCCACTCAACCATAGAAATTTGGATCATTCTTTCTCATTCTTCCCTTAGCAAAACCTTTCTAATTCCTCTCTGGCAAGGGTAGCACCATTCCTGAGTTGGATGAGGTTTGCACTGTGGTCAAGCACATCTCTGTTTTAAGTTTGCTCATGCCTGATCCTGGAAGAATCACTCCAGCCCTTTCTAAAAACCATTGCAGGCATGACTGGACAATAGTCTATATATGAATACCTGCTTCAAGTTCACTTGGTATTAGGAACTGGACAGAAGCATAGAAAGATTTTGTTTGGAAAAACGTGTAAGCTATGCTGAGGAAAAGAGGGTAGAAGCACAAAGCCAACTTGTGTTCTCTTCAAGATGTGCTTATCACTGAAGGAAGCAGCAGAGAGAGACAGTGCAAACCAGATTTCACTCTAGTGTCCAAGGTGTGTGGTCCTACATCCTGACTTAGGATTGGAGGTCCACTGTGTTAGAATCACCTGAAGTGCTTAAAAACTTCTAGACTCCACCCTACACATACTGAACTGGAATCAAAAAGGATAGATGGGTTGTCAGAATATGCATTCTTAACATGCTGCTTAGAAGTTTTCTTATGCACATGTAAAGTTAAGATTCGCTCTCTTCTATACACCCATGTTCATGGCAGCATTATCCACAATAGCCAAAAGATAGAACCAATCTAAGTGCCTACCTACCTGTGAATGGATAAAGAAAATGTGATACACATATTATAGAATAGTATTCAACCTTAAAAGAAAGGAAATTTTGAACAATGCTACAACAACTACCGTATGGCTCTACTTACAAGAGGTACTTAGAGTATTTATATTCACAGAGACAGAAAGTGGAATGGTGGTTGCCTGAGGCTGGGGGGAAAGGAGAGATAAGGATTTGTTGTTTAATTGGGTATAGAATTTAAGCTCTGTAAGGTGCAAAGAGTTCTAGAGACTAGTTGCACAAAAATGTGAATATACTTATC